GTAAGTTTTACATGACATGGGAAGTGTCCGGAATGTAGACCTCAAGAAACAGAGAAGAAGTAGGTGGTTGTGCGGTTGAGTGATCGACAAAGGAGATGTGAGCATATGGTGACCCAGTGAGGGAATTTAGCAAGACTGTCTTGATTAGATTCATCTGGATCCCTGGTCTTCAAGGTTAAGGACGCCTCTTTCCTCACAGGATGGGGGTGGCTCTGAAATGAGGGTCTTATGACCTTCTTTAAGGACCGGCCAGGGGGGTGTTATAGCTTGCTTTCAGGGAGATTTCTTAAATGTGACCACATTAAAAGATTACTACCTCCCTCCCGCTGTGAGGGTCAATTTTCTGACTCAGTCCCCACCTTTCTTTCTGGTAAGCCTCCCTGTTGCCAGGCATCCCCATTGTTCCTGGTCATCCATTGCCTCCACTCCCTACCACCTGTCTTTCTTGTTCCGTCTTTCTTCCCAGAACAATGATCCCCTGTAATACTCCTCACCCCATTTTTCAATCCAGGACCCTGTGAGTAAACTTAAAGTGTGTTCTGTAAATAAGAAAAAGTCTTTTCTGAAGGACTTTACAGAAAATCCCATGACTCAATCCCCAGCTGCTAGTGTACCGAAAATCCAAAAAGTGCAAAGAAAGAAAAGATCAGCCCAGCCTCAGCTTACAGTCAGGAAGGTCATGAAAAACCAAGATGATAAAAGAGTTCCTGGTTTGAGTCAAGCCTAGCTCCTCCTACGCCCACACAACAAAAGTGGTGTAAAAAGTGAGATCTCAGGGTAGGTTGCCTTTATAGTATGTCTGTTGACCAAGGGAGGTGGAAGAAAATACAATATACTTTTGAAAACCTGAGGTCATAGTACCAATTCAAAGTTACTCAGGAAATCTAAGTGGCTGTGGGGAATGGTATCACATTACACTGCTGGGAAGGAGAAGGGCAACAGTCACATCTGTAGCCAGCTTTGCCACAGACAACCTTAAGAAAGTGACAGCAGATATACTCCAGCAGTTGCTGTAGGTAAGTGCTTTTCTCCACAGGATCCTTTGTGATTTGGACTACAGATCTCTGGCATAATGTAGGTACAAGATATCTGATGTGCATTTTTGGGGACACTCGAGGACTTGAACATTGTCTTTGTGCTTTGGTGTTCGAAAGGATGGATTGAGGGTTGAAGACATGGCACAGCTGATAGAGAACTAGTCAAAGAGTAAAAGTGTGAGGTACCAAGTTCCAGTCTCAGTCTTGAACCCAAAACACACACACACACACACAAATAAAAGAAAGAAAGTAAAGGATGGATGGAGAAGGTGCCCTTGGGCAGGAATATGAAGGACACTCAACTTTAGAAGAAAAATAACAGCCATGTCTTTAGAGTTTGTCTGCAGCAGTATCTACTCTTGCTCCTATGAAATTTTAGCCCATGTTATCAACTGAAATACATATTTGAGTAAAATCCACAGTGCAACCCTCTGTTTTACATAGGAACTTGGTGAAAAAATTAAATGGTAATTTGGTGAGATATAGATTGACATTAGTGGCAAGAAGTCCAATGGAGGGAAAGTTCGAAGGTTACATATTAAAGAGGTGAACTTGTTGGGGGCGGGAGGAGGGTGAGATGGAAAGGGATGAGAGGGGAAACAAAGGAGGAGGCAACAATGCTTGATAAGAAATGTACTCATTACCTTGCTCATATAATTGTAACCCCTCTGTATGGTATTTTCACAATTAAAAAAAAAGTGTGGACTGAAGGACAACCTAAGAATTCATATATGATTTCTTTTGTGTCATCATGGGGCTTGAACTCAGGGTCTAAGTGCTGTCCCTGAGCTCTTTTACTCAAGGCTGGTGCTCTACCACTTTGAACCACAATGTCACTTCCAGTTTTCTAGTGGTTAATTGGAGATAATAGTCTCAAAGTGACTTTTCAACCCAGTCTGGCTTTGAACCACCATCTTCAAATCTCATCCTCCTGAGTAGTTAGGATTATAGGCATGAGCTACCGGCACCCAGCTAAGATGTGAATTTTTATGTGGATGTGATTACATTGGGTGAGGTACCACTAGGAGAGGATTCCATTAACTAATGCCTAAATGGACCAGCTGACAATAAGAAGGGGAGTGTGCCAACCCTAGTGTCATGCAACTGGAACAACTCTTCAGCTGGGTTTGTCAGTGCAATAGCAAGATTTCTGGTAATTATTTTAAACATCTGCTTTGTTTTAAAATGCCTAGCTTGGAAAGTTTTGAAAGTTTTATGAGGCAAGGTTATTAAGGAAGTAGAACTTTCTAAGTTTTTTTATTACCCTATTCCCTTATGTACTCCAGGACCCCAGGTACCTGAATTCTCTTCACCTTCCAGTTGCAAAAAACCTTCTCACAAGGAAGGGGCAGTGTTAATTATTTGATAAACTCTCTTTATGTGGATTTAAGGGCATGTGTTCTTTCTCTAAGGTTTTATATTTGACCTGTGAATTCTTAAAGAAGTATGTCTGACCCACTTTGGGTTTATCAAAGTTTACCTGAGTAAATTTCATTCTTGGGCTTTTTTTCATTCTTTTGAAGACAAAGGAGACCCCCCCCCATTTATTTCTTTTTATTGTAAAAATGATGTACAAAGCGCTTATAGTTATGTAAGTCATGTAATGAATACGTTTCTTTTTTAACAGAGTCACCTCTTCCCTTGTTTTCTCCTGGTTTTCCCCTCCCAACTTTCCTCCTCCACAAATTGTATAGTTCATTTTTAGCCTCTTGTCTAGTATCACTGCCACATTAGTTCACCCCCTTACCTCCTCAAAACAGATAAACTTACAAGACAAAAAAGTACAACAACAAAGGGGATGGGGAACACAGAAGGTAAAATTTTAAAAAACCCTTGTCTCCATTTCTTGGAGTTCATTTTGATACACATCATTTTGTGCACATAGCTATTGAGCTCTTATAATCCTCTCCTAAGAAACTGTTCCTTTGATCTCACTGTGTGAATGTTTAGAGCCCTGTAATTTGTCATGTCCCAGTGTAATTTTTTTGTCTTTTACCATCCATTGTGTTTACTTGTAGATTTATAGGCATATTCTAATTACTACAAATGAGGGAAACCATAGGTTTCTTTGGGTCTGGCTAACTTCACTTAATATGACTTTTTCCAAGCCTTTCCACTTCTTTACCAATATTCCCAGCCATTTAATTTAAAGTGAGAGCGCAGTGTCTAGCCCCCATCTAACTGGACATTCCTTTCACTACAGTGAAACTGTAATGAGCTACATTTTCCAAAGAAGGAACACAGAGCCAGGAAAATCTGAAGATGGAATAAATAGGCGTACAGGAAATGGAAATGAAAACATTGGTGGAGTTTTCTCTGTGTGACTTCAGCATGGGGAGGCGTGGCAGGCTGTGAGACCAGAAATTCAGTCCTCTGAACTCAATGCCATGTCACAAATAATGAGAACAAGACTTTGGAGCAAAGGAAGTGAGGTTTTACTGGTGTTTCCAGGCAATATGAAAAACTACACTTACTGCTATCTTCAGGGGAAAAAAGAAAAATATTTTATACATATTATATAATATATATAATTATCTAGTCTGGGAATAGGCAGAGGTGGGGAAACAGACTTTTTTTAAAGGATGCAGCAGCATGAGCTTCCAGATATGTTCACTGAGACTTGGTATGAGTCACATGGTGGCTTTGAGTCTGCTCATTTATTGCTGTGCAGGTATCAGTCTCTGGAGCTATATTTCTTGCAGTCCTAAATGCTCCTGCATTCCCATGGTCAGAGAAATGAAGAGAGCAGCCTTGCATGGAATTGTAATTCTTCCATTCCTTTCACATGAAAGGGAGATGAGGAAGGGAGAAAAGACAATGAGAAAGAAAAGAAAAAATTACCTTTTTTTTAAACCTACATAACTAAAAGCATGCTAGTCAGTCAAGTGAGTTCGTTGTTGGGCTAAAACTACATTGTAAGTATGTTTAGGTATCTGTTCCTCTAGCCTTTGGAAGGAGAGGTGTGAACCCTCCTGTCCCCCCCATCAACTGCAACCTCAGCACCTCCTATTGTAGTCCCAAGGAGAAACAGTCCCACTGGAGAAAAGCTTCAGAAAAGCTCATCTTTCACCCCCTGCAGGAGCAACCTTTCCTCTTCTCAGCACCAAAGACCACTTGAGGAAGTACCTGTCACAATTAGGAACCAAGAATAATAATACCAAAACCTAGTTTCATTACCTTCTTTTGATCTTCTTGCTTGACTGTCTTTTAAAAAATATGTTAGAATCATCTTAGACTGAGTTTTCCTACTTATTCTCTTAGCAGGAAAGGACACTAAATAGTCAAAATCATGGTAACAGGAAGAAAATGCTAAGTCATGAACAATAATCTTAATTCATAGTTAAATTACTAAGAAAACGTTATTACACGTTATTACACGTTCCAGACCGGAGGCTCATGGTTGTATTCCTTGTTACTCGGGAAGCTGAGATCTGAGGATCATGATTTGAAGCCAGTCCAGGAAGGAAAGCCTGCAATTAAGCACCAAAAAAGCCAGAAGTAGAGGTGTGGCTTGAGAGGTTGAACACTAAGCTTGAATGAAAACGCTCAAGGATAGCATCCAGGCCTCCAGTTCAAGCCCTAGGAATGGCACCAAAAAAAAAAAAGAAAAATATTACATGAAAGCAGATGGTCAACAATAATTCTAGTTTGCAAATTGAAATATTATCCTGATGTACCAGACAGTTTATGAAATGTTTCTCTGTCATATTACTTCATCTGTTCTATGTAGTGAAAAGATTGCAATCACAGGTACAAGAGTGCTCTGGTCATATTGAAGTTCCTTCTGCAGCTAGCTAAGTTTAATTTCTCAAAATAGTGATGATTCCTTTGGAAACCTGTGACCTCCAGCTGCTTTGCTTCCTTCATCCACTGAGGAGAAGCTTAGTCATCACTCAGTGTCATAATGGGTGTAACTCACAGAACGAGGAGAGAACTAGAGGACTCACGCCTGTAGGTCTCAGAGTTTGTGAGAAGCACAGGCACCTCAACCACAAGAGGATCAGCGTGCTCAGGTGACGCTGCCTTCCCCTGGGCACCTTAGGGAGATTGCGATTGACTGAGCAAGAAGAGCTGCAGCAGTTACGAGCCTCAAGTCATCTTTTGTAAGTTAACCGGTGAGTGAGTTTGATTGTTTACTTCTTCAATAATCAAATCAACCTAAACTATCTTTGGCATTCCTCACTCCTACAGAATGAATCAAGTTGTCTTTCAGGCTGTGATCAACTACCAATACTTCTTTAATGAAGTCCATTAGCAGGCAGTGATGTGAGCTAAGTGTGTCTCAACAAGAAATGTTGTCAGTGTAGTCCAGATCCTGCCTTGACCTCTTCCAGGACTCTCTGTGAATGTCCTTAGCACTCAAGAGTCCCAACCTTTACCTCTTCTTGTCCCTCACTCCATGCCTATGTGATGCCTCCTGTGGATCTTAAGGTTAAGTGGCAACTGGAAAGAGAAGAATTCCAAAAGGTTTATGAATCTTAGATGAGTTTCTTACTGGAGCAATGGATTTACTGCCAAATGCAAGTCTGGTCTGTTTGTGACTTGCTTTAGATATGTTATCAAGTGTGGCTCCATAAACATGTGGAGAGAGGGAGGAGGCAGGGAGGGAGAGAGGGAGAGAAGGAGAGATAGAATAATGAAAGGAAGCAGAAGACTTCAAATTTGAATCATTTGATTCCTGGATACCGGGAGGACAGTATACAACCCTTTCAGATATGAAAGGATTGTTTTTGTTTTTTATGATCCAGTGACTTGGTATTTCAACTTTGTGTGAGTGTGTGAGTGTGTGTGTGTGTGTGCATGCGCGCACGCACGCGCGCATCTCCCCCTCTCTCTCAGGTAAGAGACATAGTCAATTTAGGGCCATTTAAATGTCTCTGAGATGTCCCATGACACTATTAGCCCAAAGATAAGGATTGTACTTTATCTGAGCATTGCCTGGCCTATATTAGATGATCTAAATATATCCTGGGCTTCATGATAAAAGCAAAATGCCTAAGGTCTTGGAGTTGTTTAAGTTTTAAGAAAGATGTCCTATTTTAGAATAAATATCAGCAGTGGGTGGTTAAATACTAGTAAAACTGTTGCCTCATATATTTCAAATGAGGAAAAGGGAAATTGATTTTGAAACCATTGACACAAATGTTACTTTTTTAAAAAGGCAGTATGTAAAATCGATACTTTTCTACTGCATGAAAATAAACCTGAAGAGCTAAACATACTTCCTGCCTCTATGCAGACATTCTCTCTATTAACTTTCTTTGAAGTTTGGTGACCCTAAATTAGAACAATGTACAACATATAATCCATTCGGGTCCACATTGCAGACCTCAGTGATCATAAAGTAACCATGGATTTCATAGCAATTCTTCACCTACCAGAATTGTATCTATATTGGCAAAATAATAAACCTAGAATGGACTGGGAATAATACATTAATAATTGAAATGATATGATAGATTATAATTTAAGTGTTTTGAAGAGAGAAAAAGAAAATCAGAGATGCTTTGATCCTTAGGCCAAAATCTGCCAGATAAATGGGGCAAGTATTCCTTATGTAGAAGCGGGCCAGCACACCTGCACACACACTGAGGCTGCGGTACCAGAAAACTGATTGTACCCCCCGAGGAAGCATGCATACGCTCCTCCACACCTGCTTGTCCTGCCACCCAAGGTCCAGCCTCGGTACCCAGGGCTGCCTCCCTCTTTCCTGGAATCATGATTCAAGAGAAATATAACTCAACAGGCTCTGTTTCATCCCATTGACTGGGGGAAGTGAGCTTCCTGCGATGATGAATACAGCAGCAGCGGTATTTCAATCAGTCCTCAAAACCTGCAAGCATCTTTCATGTAACGTCCCTTGTCTTAAATGTTTTTAGCTTTATTTGGTTTCTGAGTTTCCAGTTTCTGTGAATAGTCTATTTCACAGAATGCGTTAGTTATATGAATTTATCCTGTCATTAGATTCACTGTTTATTTTCCTTAAAGAGAATTGCAATAGAAGTCTGAAAAGCCACTTAGGTGAAAAAAACAACTTTGCCTTTACTAAGAAGGCAAAAAATAATGAGTTCTGTGTGATTTAACCACATTTACAGTACTTAAATATAAGAGGAGCATGTATGTTCTCTGCAGTTAATATGAGCAAGCTCTAGTAAGGTAATCTGCAAAAGAAAATATTCAGTTGTTGCTAACTACTGTTTGATGTATTTCTGCTGTCGACTCAACATGAGCTATATTTTTTTTGCAGAAATTGAAAGCAAATACAGATTAAACAAACGTATTTATATGATTGGCTAGTTTTAATATTGTTTTCTGAAAGAATATCTGTTCTGGAGTTATTTGGAAATTAAAAAATGGTCTAGAAGGAAGATATTCAAGACCTTATGTCAAAAACTGAACTTTACAACTTTGGTGCAGGGGGGGAAGGGGGAACTGTGGGGAGTGGGGAGAGATGGGAAGGGATGGGAAGGGGAAACAAAGGAAGAGGCAACAGTGGATTGGGTGGGGCGGGGGGAGGATGGGAAGGGATGGGAAGGGGAAACAAAGGAGGAGGCAACAATGCTTGATAAGAAATGTTCTCATTACCTTGCTCATGTAATTGTAACCCCTCTGAACAGTATTTTCACAATTAAAAATAAAAGAATTCAACTATCTAGGAAAAACCCTACTACTATTTTTATATTTCTATTTTATAGTCTGGCTCAATGGCTTAGACTGTAATCTCAGCTCTGGGAAGCTGAGGAGAAGGACAGAGTTCTAGATTACCCTGGACTGTACAAAGTCCCTGTCTCAAAAAGGAAAAAAAAAACTATGTATCAGTAATTGAAACATTACTCTCTATTTTTAATTAAGTGTGTCACTTTTTAAGGATCAGAAGAAGGTAGATAAAAAAATAAAATTAAGAGTTTATTGTTTGTGGTTTTTTCTGGGTTTTTTTTTGGGGGGGATGGGGTGAGGGTTCTGTTGTTCTTGTTATCCTTGGTTGTAGGGCTTAAACTCAGGATCTGGGCACTGTCCCTGAGTTCTTTTGCTCAAGGCTAGCACTCTATCACTTTGAGGCATGCCTCCACTTCTGGTTTTCTGGTGGTTAATTGGGGATAAGAGCCTCACGAACTCTCCTGCCTGGGCTGACTTCAAACCATGATGCTCAGCTCTCAGCCTCCTGAGTAGGATTACAGGATTACAGGTGTGAGCTGTGTTTTTAAGTTTCTCACTAAGAAAAGAGACCCAGGAAGAGAAATTGTAGAGAAGCAGAAGTAGGTCAGGGCAGTGCAGTATTTTCTTCTAGCTGCTGACAAGTAGTTCCTATGTAAGCATCCTGTGTGGCAAAAAAAAATACTTCTCCTTTTTTGGTTGCTTCCAAATCACTGAGGCCTGATAGGATGTTTTTGATAAAGTATTTTCATTCCTCCTGCCACCCACTGATGGCTTCTGTCTTTATAGCTCTTTCCCTTCTTTTCACGTGATCAAAGCATTCAGAGACATTTGAGCCCTAGACATTACTTGGCAAAAGACTTTATGTATGATACCTAGCCTATCCCAGAAAAATTTCAGTAGTTAAACAGATAAATACAACATGAATGCTTCTCAGAGTGTTTGGAAATTATCTCAATTGTAATGTGAATATAATATTAGTATAATTCCCATCATCCTTCTGTGCCATGTGCCTGGGATAACAAAGACATATCAAGTTATCATCAGATTTCTGGAGCCAGAGTAAAGACTTCTTCCATCTTCCTTCCTTTCTTCCTTCTTCCTCTCCCTTTTCTTTCTTCCTTCCCCTCTTCCTTCTCTCCTGAAACAATACTGCCCAAGAGCCTAATGCCAGACACCAGGACTTGGAAAGTACAACCCAGCCCCAATCCCCAGAGTTAGGTGGGAATGAAGACAACAGGGATGGGGCCACAGTGTCTGGATAGCAGTCCCCAAATCACGTGTATATGGCATCTTCACCCTCTTAGCCTACATATCTGAGCTGATACTCATCTATAAAAGAGAAATCATTCTTATTTTATTTTGTTTTGTTTTTACTGTGAAGCAGAGTCGCACTTACATAGCTCAGGCCAGCCTCAAACCTGACATCTTCTGGTCTCAGACACCGAGGTGCTGGGATTATGGAAATGAATTACCAGGTTTGGTCCAAATGGAGATCATTTTATCAGGGGTTTAAATGTAGTAAATATTTGTAGATCCTGCAGAGACTTAGAAAATGCTAAGCACTCACCAACCATAGCTGTTACTATCACTTGTACCTGACTGAATGAACTAAGAATCTCAAGGACTATGGGTTTCCTGTGCTATCCATGTGAAGGGCACACGAGAAGAACCCGGCAGGGTCCAAAAGGTACCTGGTCAGAAGGTTCAGCCAGAATCCAGACCTCATCGTTACCATGCGTGCTACTTTGGTCATTTCTAAAATCATAAATGATATCATACATAAATATGGTCTTCTTCACTGCCTTCTGTCCTTCTGATGAGAAAAGTATTTTTCTTTTTTATTAATAAGTTTTTTATTGTGAAAATGCCATACAGCGTGGTCACAATTACATGAGCAAGGTAATGAGTACATTTCTTATCAAGCATTGTATTTTTCAAAATCATAGAAATTAATGCTTTTAGTCACAGGATATGAACAATAGCTTACAGGTGAAAAAAAAAATCTTTCCTGCTAAGCCATTAAAAACCAAAAACATCAACCAGGCACTGGGGGCTCACGCCTGTAATCCTAGCTACTTGGAAAGCTGAGGTTCAAGTAAACAATCCAAAGCCAGCCCAGGGAAGGAAAATCCTTGAGACGCTTATCTCCAATTAACTACCCAAAAGCCTCAAATGGAGATGTGACTAAAGTGGGAAAGAGTTAGCCTTAGAGAAAAACCACTCAGGGATAGAGCTGAGAGCCCTGAGTTCAAACCCAGTAGCAGCCCAAAAAACAAAAACTATTATCAATAAAATATTACCAAGAAACCAGTGATGGAATTTCCAAAGCAGTACATCTGGGTGCTATGAAGTTCTGGACCCATGAAACAAGGATTCTTTTATTTTGTTTTTTTTATTTATTGTGCAAATACCATAGAGAGAGGTTACAATTACATGAGCAAGGTAAAACAAGGATTCT